CTCATCAAATCATTCCACTCAGCCAACAACCAAGAAATTCGAGAGATATTTACCCCGTCTGGGAGGACCTTACCGAGAGCTATTAACCCAGCTCTGAAGGACACAGCCTACCGGAAGAGAGTCTACCAGGGGAAACCCCCCTCTCTCTCGCGCTCTCTCAAAAAACCAGTCTCTTTATGCTAAAAAAATCGGATCCAAACCCCAAAAAACAAACTCCTCCTCTACACCCAATTTGTGGAAAACTGGGCATGGCTTCTACTGTACAGGGCTGAACATGAAATTATATCTTATCTATATGGCTACGGACATGATTCCATTCTACATGCCTGCCTTTAACTCTGCAATAAGACCCTCAATAGATGGGCATGTGTCAGCGCTTCACCTTTCACATTTTTGAACTGCCTTTGTTTCCAATCATTAAGCTCTTCTTTACCCGCTTTTTAATAATAATCACTATCAGTAACAATACGGATGTGTGCTATTTTTCCTTTTTTAGCAAAAAGAGGTCCCTCAACAAATGGCCTTTTCCTCAGCACGCTGTACCTGGTATTGCACCCCTTTGCTTGCAAAGTACTTCACCTGAATTAGTTTTCATTATAAAGGCCCAAGTGGCTGCTTGGTCACCTTTCCGCAAACTCCCCTCTGTCAACAGTGTTATCTTTGGAGCAGCGGTTTCCTGTAAGGGTTTCAATGTTTCCCTTTGTGGCTTACTTCCTGAGGTCCTTTACAAACCACATCTGGATCAGACATCATCATCTTCCATTTTACCCATCTACTCATCATTGTTTCTGCTCCCTGAACAGTTTGTTTAGTAGCTTCAGATATTGAAAAATAAAGAGTGTATATGCACATTCTGGTACCTTGAGACATTTCCCTCAGGGCTGGATACATTTTTAATGCAAGTGCAAGATGCTTCTCTTCAGGAGAGAATTCTTCCTCTGTTCCTGATCAAGTCATGGACATGAATAACACAGATTTTCTATCACCCTGGTTCCTTATCTCCACACCTCCTCCTAAATCATTCGTGGCTAGATGAACTTCCCAAGTTTTCTTCTTATTTCGCATTGTTAGTTTCTGAGAATGGGTCTCAACATACTCTTTTGGTTTTTGATATTGTTCTGGTGTTAAGATTATTTTTTGAATCTCCCTCTTTTCTTAACAACTGGAGCTATGTCTATTTTAGTTCTGACTTGGTTAAGAGTTGATTTGTTCTTTGGTGAGAGGAACTCTTCCCCATGTGCTGGGTGGGGGATGGGTAGCCTGCTTTGGGAGAGTTCCTTAAAATCTCCAGATCTTCCTCTGTGCTAAGGCCATAAAACTTTTAATGGTCTTTCGTGGCCTGCTCAGATTTTCTTCCCCTCCAGAGGTCACGCCTGTCTTTGACCCCGTGTGCTGCGTGTTTCTGCAGCACCTCAGGAGCAGAGAAAAAAGATTTGTTTCCAAAAGTGCATTCTCCTTCATGAGCAAAATAGCACCACATTTAACTCTCCCTGACTTGTCTTTAAAGCGTTCTTTAAGGCTTGAATTGAATTTTCTGTTGTGTAACGGAAAATCCCATTCCCAAAAAGGGGTCAAAAGCAAATAGTTTAGTTGATTTTGGTAAAGTATTTGAGCTTTAGCTTCGCAAAAACGTTCTCATATTAGTTTTGAAGATATTTTTGGGGCTTGATTATCTGCTGATAGTTCCCACATAGGTTTTTTCTTAAAAGTACATTCAAAACAACCGGTATTTGTGGGTCATCTGATCACCACATTGCCTTCTGACAGTTTAATAGTCCTTATCATATTATCACACTGTGCTTGCATGCTAGGACCTATTCTCTTTGCCAGAGCTGCTGCTATTTCTCCTGCATGTTTTAGCTCCATATTAGCTGGGTTCATTAACATGGTTTGTTGATCCAGTTTTAGGATTTTCAATATTTGATATTATTATTTCCAACATTCCTTTTCCCTGAATATCATGTCTAACAATGTTTTTTCTTCTAGTCGTAGATGAGATACGCATTAATGGCATTTTTGAGCTTTTATCCCTGTATGGTGGAGGTAGGGTCTCAGACATTATACCACCTGCTTGTTGCTCTCTGTCCAAAACGGTAGTCTGACAGGAAACGTATTTTGGTCGCGGTACGCCCGTGGGTCTGGGCTAAGCTGACCAGGGCGTGCAGAAGCTCCGGATTTTGCTTCTGTGTATCCCTCCCTGTGTGGTTGGCTCCGAGTCATTAAAAACTGCGTTCTAACCTCGTCCGCCATTTATTTATTTTTGTTTGTTTGTTTTAAAAAAACAAAAATGTATTTAAGGGTTTACGTTCACTCTTTTATACACATGCAAGTTCCTAGGCTATTACTCACACCGGATGAATCAGTCCGGCTATACCGTCACTTGGTTCTAGGTTACTCTTTCTGGATTCAGCTAGTACATGCGGATACCTCAGTTAAGAGTGTTATGTACCGAGCTTCGAGTTTTTTCAACAGCATAGGTACCTTTAGACCTATGTTTATCTTTATTAAATCTCCCATTAACTCTTCCCCACGTTATGTTTTAACGCAAAAGTTCAAACCGCAGCTCTTTGTCAAGTCCTACCTATAAGTTTCAAAGTAATTGGACAGGTACTGAGCAGTGCTCCTACGGCTGACTTCACTAATAGCCACCAAAACCTGTGTTAAAAGGACCACAGGGGCTTCTCAATTTGGCTAGGGGAAGATGAACCTACTTTAGCTTCTTTAACAGACAGCAATATCCAATATAATATAACCCTCAGTCCGGTGCAATAGTATCAACTTAAATTACTACACTTTTAGGTTTAATGATATATTCTAGGATTTGGGGTAGGTATTTTAACAAGACTTTCAGCCTGTATTTCGCTGATTTGTACTCATCGACTTTTTTCACTAGGTCGTTTTGGTTCTTGTATTTTGACTCTGTAAAAGTATTATTTTTCACAGAGCCCCACGTTGGGCGCCATGTTTAGAGTCGGAGAGGTCCTGATAATTTATTCCGGTAAATTATTCTGACCTACTAATTGACCTTTCCGAAGATTATTGAGTCTATGTAAGTTTGCTGCTTGGCTCAGATCCACCAACGTCAGCAAGATCTCACCTCTTCCTAACCCCCCGAAGAACCAGGTTCAATTAACTGCTGTTTCAATTCAGACAACTCTTTTTTAATCTGTTTAAGGGATCCCGAAGGATTTTGATATCAGTAAATGGAGTGTGCTCCAACCTAAGTGTGTGTGGCAGGGTGCAGTCTTACCTTTTAAGCAGGAGAGGAGAGCACAGGTTGTCTTTTAAATTATCCCAGTCCAACAGGTGGGATTCAGTTTATTTGAAGAAAAATAGGTCCAAACTAATACAGGGTTTTTACCTTCTCTCTTTACAACATTATAATCATACTAAAAAAATGGTGCTGTGATCATGTTCAAATATGAAACTTTAATTCACAGTCTTACATTTTTTACCAAAATGTTTAATTTCAACTGCCCAATTCAGTTGTGACAATTTAAAATTCTCCCGATAGAATTTAGAGGTATTTCTTCTACTGTACAGGGCTGAACATGACCCGACATGTTCCATAGCTTATGGTATAAGACACACCTTCCCATGTTAGTGTAAAAAGGACATGATCCCTTTTTGAGGCCTCTAATGTGTTTCTCCTTAAGCCTGGAGCCCCCCTCCCTGTGAACTGCTGTCACAGGAGAGGGAGACAACGGCCTACTCTCTTTATCAGAGACACCCATAAATCATAGACCTTACACACTCAACCTAAACAAACCACTTTGTTTTGTTTATACTGTAACTATAGAAAAACCTAAAATATGAAGCATTTTCATTGTGGGTTATACAAAAATATAATTGATTATATTTGATTATAACTAACTTTCGTTTTAAATATTAAACATACTATGAAAACTCACAACACCCTCTTTTCAAAACGCAAAGTTATCAAATAGCAACAGAAAAAATTGTAAGCATACATACATATTCAAAAACCGTCAAGAAGCATTCTCATTATGGGTTTATACAAGAATATGATTGATCATATATGATTTATAATTAACTTTCGTTTTTAAGTATTCACTTCATACTATGATCTCAACAAGGGATAACAGCTAATGCATCATGGGGGTTGTAGTTTTTAATAAACTTTATAGAGATCCAGGGCAAGAAACAAACAGTGCCATCAAGGGGTGGAGCTACAGCACAACACATGGGGACAATACAACCTGGAACATTCAATAAAAGAGAACGACTAATATAATAGAGAATAAATACATAAATAATTAAATACTTATCCTGAGGGAAGAATTGGTTTTGTGACAGATAGTCCATTAATAACAAATTAAATATAATGTGCAGAAATACAAGTATATTGTTCTTATACTTTTAGTGTTCTCCAAAAGAGAAAAGGTGCTACATTTCATTTAAAAATAAACAGGAACTACTGAGCACATATTGTTTATCCTGTGTTTTATTTTTTAACAATATGATTTGTTGATTACAGCGTACTCTAACTTATTCTGTATATCTCATGTGTGTACCATAGAAACTCTGGAGGTAAGTATATTGTTGATGTTTATATGCATATAATTATCTCCTTTTTTAATAATAGTTTCAGCTTCAGTGCAATGCCTTGTTTATTACTTGTTTCTGCAACTAAATATATAAGTACATCTAATCTCATCTAAATAAACCTTCAATATTAAAGAGCAGAAAGAATGACATTTAAAAAGGCTAGTGTAGATTAAGACGGGTATAAAAAGCAAGAACACGAGTTACAATTCAGCGTTCGATATGAAAAAGTATTTTATGTCTGCTTCCACCCTGATTCAACGGAGGTGAAAGGACTTCAATTTGCATTTAACAGAACACCAACAATGAAACACATGAGCCCGAACTACAGTTCCAAAAAGCAGGAATAATCCTAACATTCCATCTGAACTCTGAACTCTAAATGAGCTGATTGTAATTTGCTGCAAAACACAAACAATATGCAGGAATGCGAGTCTGTTTCAAAGGCCTTTTTCTTTTAGTTTGGTTTGATGATATAAACAGAATCAAACTGGAAACATCGTACACATTCTCTATATCAATAAGTCATTGGTTCTTCTTTTAGACCAGAACAGACTGATAACTCAACAGGAACTATCAACAACATCCCAATGGAAGTTTAAAGTCACAACATTTCATTAAACAAACAGATTATTAGAGAAACTACTGCAGATTAATCAGTCAGTGGTTATACATGGTTATACATCAGAAAAGTAGTATGACAAAAACATTAAACATATTCAAAACTTCTGTTGATAAAGATGGAGTTTAGATGAAGTCATGTTTGAACATTGTCAAACAGAGTTTATTCAGCCAGACAGATTTTTCTCATGTGAATTGTCGTAGGAATAATTAATTGTCCTCTTTTTTTGTTGCAGATTTGACTTGGAAAATGTCAGGTTCAGAAGAGCCTCCAGGGTTGTCCTCAGTCTCTGGTTGTAAATGTCTCTCTGGATCTGAGTTCCTGGCTGGTTCTGGTCCTCCACAGTTCTCTCTATCAGCTCATGTGTGTCTTTAAAAATTCCTCTCACTGTAAAATATTTCACACAGATGAGGTGAATGATTTCTCTCATGTGTGAGCTCTAATGTGTGTAATTAAATTCCCAATATCTGTAAAAGATTTCTCACAAATTAAGCAGCTGAATGGTTTCTCTCGTGGGTGGATACTCATGTGGTGTTTTACATTTCCTCTCCGTCTAACTATTTTCTCACACAAAGAGCAGCCAAATGGTTTCTCTCCTACAGGCTCTGCCTCTCTGTTCTCCTCAGTTTGAGTTTGATGAAGCTGTGAGGACTGATGACCAACACACTTATGGCTTTTGACTTTATGACTCTGTGTGAATCTTTTGTCACAAACACTGCAGCTGTATGGTTTCTCTCCTGTGTGGATTCTAATGTGGCACTTTAAACTTGCTTTCACTGCAAAAGATTTCTTACAAATTGAGCAGATGTATGGTTTCTCTCCTGTGTGGATTCTCATGTGCAGATTTAAATATCCTTTCCATGCAAATGTTTTCTCACAGACTGAGCAGCTGAATGGTTTCTCTCCTGCACTACGTCTTGAATCACTGACAGGATCTTGTTTATTTCTATCAGAGTTTGAACCTGGTTCTCTGGTCTTCTTCCAATCAGCCCTATCTTCAGTATAAGGTTTAGAAGAGTCTAAAGGTTTGTCCTCAGTCTCTGGTTGTAAATGTTTCTCTGGATCTGAGTTCCTGGCTGGTTCTGGTCCTCCACAGTCCTCTCCATCAGCTTCTGTTTCCATGTGTTCAGCTGAGCTGCTGGCTGGAGGCTCTGCCTCTCTGTTCTCCTCACTTTGAGTCTGATGAAGCTGTGAGGACTGACGACCAACACACTTATGGGTTTTGACCAGATAGCTCTGTGTGAATCTTTTGTCACAATCACTGCAGCTGTATGGTTTCTCTCCTGTGTGGACTCTCATGTGTCTGTTTAAATCTCCACTCTGTGTAAAATATTTCTTACAAAATGAGCAGCTGTATGGTTTCTCTCCTTTGTGGTTTCTCACGTGGTGCTTTAAACTTCTTCTATGTGAAAAATATTTCTTACAGACTGAGCAGCTGAATGGTTTCTCTCCTGCACTACGTCTCGTATCACAGAGAGGGTCTTGTTTATTTCTCTGAGAGTTTGAACCTGGTTCTCTGGTCTCCTTCCAATCAGCACTGTCTTCAGTGTCAGGTTCAGAAGAGTCTCCAGGATTGTCCTGAGTCTCTGGTTGTAAATGTCTCTCTGGATCTGAGTTCCTGGCTGGTTCTGGTCCTCCAGAGTCCTCTCCATCAGCTTCTGTTTCCATGTGTTCAGCTGAGCTGCTGGCTGGAGGCTCTGCCTCTCTGTTCTCCTCAGTTTGAGTTTGATGAAGCTGTGAGGACTGACGACCAACACACGCATGGGTTTTGACATGATGGCTCTGTGTGAATCTTTTGTCACAAACACTGCAGCTGAATGGTTTCCCTCCTGTGTGGATTCTAATGTGCCGATTTAAACTTCCTCTCTGTATAAAAGATTTCTTACAGATTGAGCAGCTGAATGGTTTCTCTCCTGTGTGGATTCTCATGTGGGCCTTTAAATGTCCTCTCCGGTTAAAATATTTCTTACAGACTGAGCAGCCAAATATTTTCTCTCCTGCACTACGTCCTGAATCACTGACAGGGTCTTGTTTATTTCTCTGAGAGTTTGAACCTGGTTCTCTGGTCTCCTTCCAATCAGCACTGTCTTCAGTGTCAGGTTCAGAAGAGTCTCCAGTGTTGTCCTCAGTCTCTGGTTGTAAATGTCTCTCTGGATCTGAGTTCCTGGCTGGTTCTGGTCCTCCACAGTCCTCTCCATTAGCTTCTGTTTCCAGGTGTTCAGTTTGTCTTTGATGAAGCTGAGAGGACTGAGGTTTCTCTTCATCATCTTCACTCTTCACAGGGACAGGAGTGAATGTGGACTTGATGATATCAGCCTCCTCCAGCTCTTGAAGCTGCTCTCCCTCCTGACTGCTCCAGAGTTCCTCCGGTTCCTCTTTAATGTATGGGGGGGGCTCTGGGTCCTCCTGGTCCAGACTGGAGCTCCACTCCTGCTGCTCAGGGGGAACCTCTTCTTTAACCACCACCAGCTGCTGGACGTCTGCAGGAAACAGGAAACAGATATTCAGAGAAACTGTAGAGTTTTAGAATTTAAAATCTAACCACGATTAATACTTCATTAACTTTGAAGGCCTTATCCGTTAATTATTTTACATACTTTTCCAGATGCCCTGGAGAGTTTCAGCACAACAGGTGAGTTAGTACTGCCGCTGATCTAAAACGTAGTTTCACTGCCGGTTAGCAAGGCGTCGGCCGTTCACGGAGTGTGAGGCCTTAGCCTTATAGTTTGTGACCTGTCTGCAGAGTCGTTAGCTGAGAACTGGTGTTGGAGTTTCTCAGAGTAGTTGTTTAGCATCTCTCAACGCCTCGCTAAACCTGTACTTGGACTCATACAGGTGCATCTCAATGAATTGAATATCATGGAAAAGTGAGTTTATATCAGTAATTCAATTTATAAAGTTTAAACTTATACATCACATAGATTCATCACACACAAAGTGATTATTTCCAGCGTTTATTTGTTTTAATCTTGATGATTAAATTAAAGCCAAAATTCAGCATCTCGGAACATTTTAATAAAACATAAGACGAATACAAAATAGATGTTCTAATATAGAAATGCTGGCCTTCTGAAAAGTATGTTAATGTTCCTGCTGTCAGTACTTGGTTGGACCTCCTTTAGCATGAATAACTGCATCAATGCGGTGTGGCATGGAGACTATCAGTCTGTGGCACTGCTGAGGTGTGATGGAAGCCCAGGTTGCTTCACTCGCGGCCTTCAACTCGTCTGCATTGTTGGGTCTCGTGTGCCTCATCTTCCTCTCGACAATACATAGAATATTTTTTCTCAAAATCCTGACTTTTTTCCTCAAAATTAGGACTTTTTGTAAAATGATTAATTCTTCAGAACATCTATAAATGCTGGCCTTTTCAGATAACCTCAGAATTTGACTTTTTTAAACCACAAAATTCTGAATATCTTTTTCAAAATCTGACTTTTTTTCTGAAAATGGTCAGATGATAGAAAGGCAACAGTAACTCAAATAACCACTTCTTACAACCAAGGTATGCACAAGACCATTTCTGCTGCGACATTCAGGCGGTAGGGTCAGAAGACAACATGAGAGCATGGATCCATCCTGCCTTCTATCAACGGTTCAGGCTGGAGGTGGTGATGTAAGGGTGGGGGGGGGTATTATCTTGGCATACTGTGGGCCCCTTAATACCAATTGATCATCGTCTAAACGGCACCTCATCTGCCCCAGTTACACACTCAAGATGGCACTCGTAGCTACCCACATTCAAATGATCTCCAAGTGACCGCTTGCTCCTGTTTACAGACCTGCTGCGATACTGTCCAGTGTGATAGTGATGCCAAATGACGACTTTATAACAAAGCTCTATTCAAACTAATGCTCTAAATGTACAGATATGATTGTGAGGAAGCGCACACACTCCCTCACTAACATTTTGGCTTAACTATGTGTTGTTAAGAAAGGTAGTCTATTTTTCTTCAGAATTGTCTTTAATTCAGTTAAAGTTATAAAACCAGCGTACACAGACAAATTAATAAAATGCATCTAAATTAATTTAACAGTCTTTAAAGCACACAATCACAAAGTAATCCCCATGTCCTTTGTTCAGACCTGGAAGCCATCTTGTGCCAGTGCTCAGAGGGGGAGTCCACCTCCAAAGCACTCCTTATGTGTATTTTGGTTTGTTCCTTGCTGGTGAACGCAGCACCAGGCATCAAGTTTATGTTTCTGATGTGGAAGGCTATGAAATAACTAACTAACTCCGAAAGCAAATCCCATATTTGCGAGCTATACATTTCATGAAAAAATCCAAGGAGACAGTGAGAGTTTCGACCAGTTTGTAACGGAGCTAAAATTGCTAAGTAAAGACTGCAACTACCCAAACAGTGAGGAAATTATTAGAGACCGGATTGTCTTTTCAAACCTTTATTTATCCAGGTGTATCCCATTGAGATCATTGATCTCTTTTTCAAGGGAGACCGTTGCTACAAACTCAAAGAGTGCGCGAAAAACTGCTATCTCACGGTCCAGACTTGACACTAGAGAAAGCCATTGACATTGCACGTTCACATGAGCTATCATAGCAGCAGCTAAAGACAATGCTAACCCCCGCTGCTAGCCACGACAGGCGCTCTGCTCACGCGGTTACCAGAAAACCTTTTAGAGCAGACCAAGCATCCCGTGGGCACAAGACGACATGGAATGATCGTAACAGCGCCGTGAGGAGCAAGGAATGTGGAGCATGTGGGAGGGAGCACAGTCGCACTGAGGACTGTCCAGCAAAGGGTCGCCAATGCAGCAAATGCAAGAAGCCCAACCACTTTGCTAAAGTGTGTAGGTCACAAACACAGCAGCCACAGACGAGATATAATCCCAGAAAATTGCATACCATCTCAAACAGTGCAGAACAGTCACTAGAAGAACTCTATATTGATGCCATCCTGAAAGAGCATGAAAACACAGATAGAGAACAGGCATATGCAGAAGTGTGCAGTGTGCATCTGGACCCGGTGACGACATTACCTATTGACGCAGCAACCACTGTAAGTTATATTCTTGTTTAATTAGACTTCTCTGTTTCATTTATTCGACTCTGTATAATTGTTATTGTAGCTTAAACGGCTAAATCGCTTTTGAGAGATTTTAAATCTCAGAATTGCTCAGGCGAAACCTGCTTTACAGCTCTCAGCACTCAAGCCTGCATTATTAACATAGGCAGGGCCAGTCTATTGATAGCGTGAAGTACAACCGCGTGACTCAGTCATCCTTTAGCTCAAAAAGCATTTAAATACCGCATTTAAAATCTGATGAACTCAGTGTGCATCTGGACCCGGTGACGACATTACCTATTGACGCAGCAACCACTGTAAGTTATATTCTTGTTTAATTAGACTTCTCTGTTTCATTTATTCGACTCTGTATAATTGTTATTGTAGCTTAAACGGCTAAATCGCGTTTGTGAGATTTTAAATCTCAGATCTGCTCAGGCGAAACCTGCTTCACAGCTCTCAGCACTCAAGCCTGCATTAATATAGGCACGGCCAGTCTATTGTCGCCCATCAGCTGTAGATAGTTAACTAATTAGAGGGCCGTGGCCCTACAGCTGTGAGAACTGAGCAATCAGGCGTCCATTTTGGGTAGCTCTTTCCTGGAGCGTCAGCTTCAGCGTCAGACAGCCGAAGACTGACAAAGACATTGGAGTCCTACGGGAGTCCTACGGGAGTCACAGAGGAGGCAAATCCTACTCTGATTGAGCTGGTGTCTTATTTCTCTTTTCTTTAGTTTTCTAGCCCCTCATGCTATAATCATGTGTATTTTCTCCATTCCTGTTCATGTGTCTTCTCGCAATTATCACTGGCCCCGTGTATCTCCTAATCGATATAACCGGCCTGCTCTCGTCTATCCCACATGCTCCACTGAGAGATCCAACATCTAGTTTCAGGTGGCCTGTGGAACTGCCAGTCAGCTGTTCCTAAGGCTGACTTCATCTCTGGCTACGCCTCCCTGCAGTCTCTGGATTTCCTTGCTCTCACTGAGACCTGGATTACTCCATCCAACACATCCACCCCAGCAGCTCTCTCCACTGCATATTCCTTCTCCCATACACCCAGACCCACTGGCAGAGGAGGTGGCACTGGTCTCCTGCTCTCTCCCAAATGGAGCTTTTCCCTCTTCAAGCTACCTAACTTCACTCCTTCCACCTTTGAGTTCCATGCCGTCACAGTAACCCATCCTATACAGTTAACCATTGTTGTTCTCTACCGTCCACCAGGCGCCTTGGGGGACTTCTTGGAGGAATTAGATCATCTCCTCTCACACATCCCTGAAACTGGCCCTCCCGCTGTACTTCTCGGAGACTTCAACCTCCAGACGGGGAAGATAGACGAACTAACATCTCTGTTAACCGCCTTTGCTTTCTCACTGTCTCCGTCCCCACCAACTCATAAAGCTGGCAATGTCCTTGATCTCATATTCTCAAGGAACTGCGCTACTTCTAACCTCTCTGTAAACCCGCTCCACACATCCGATCACTTCTTCATTTCATTCTCTCTACCCCTTTCCAAACATAACAAACTAATCTCTTCTCATCCTGCACTTGTCCGCCGTAACCTTCGCTCCCTCTCCCCCTCTACCTTTGCCTCGTCGGTGCTCTCAGCCCTCCCTTCCTCTGACTCGTTCCAACTGCTGCCTCCAAACTCTGCTGCAGAAACTCTCCTCTCTACTCTCTCATCCACTCTGGACTCTCTCTGTCCTCTCACATCTCGGCAGGCTCGTCAGTCCCCTCCTGCTCCCTGGCTAAATGATGCACTGCGTGCTAATAGAACCGTCCTTAGGGCAGCAGAGCGGAAACGGTGGAAATCCAAACACCGTGACGACCTCCTAACCTATCAGGCTCTCCTCTCCTCTTTCTCTGCTTCGATCTCTCAGGCAAAAAGCACTTTCTTTCAAGATAAGATCCAATCTTCCTATTCCAATCCTAAAAAACTATTTTCCATCTTCTCCACCCTCTTGGACCCTCCAAAAGCCCCTCCCCCCTCCTCACTTCTGTCAAGCGACTTTGTTACCCACTTTGAAAAAAAGGTTGATGATATTCGCTCTTCTTTTTCTGACTCACCTTTACTCACCGCTGGGTCACCAGACCTTCCTTCCACCAACACACTGACCTCCTTTTCCCCTCTCTCTCCAAGTGAGGTTCTTACCCTCATTACTTCTGCCCGCCCTACCACCTGTCCTCTGGACCCTATCCCTTCAAACCTCCTTCAGACTATCGCTCCTGATATTCTACCGTTTCTCACCCATTTCATCAACACTTCTCTAACTTCTGGTCACTTTCCAAACAGTCTCAAGGAGGCAAGAGTAAACCCTCTCCTAAAGAAACCCACTCTCAACCCGTCTGATGTTATAAACTACAGGCCTGTCTCTCTCCTCCCGTTCCTGTCTAAATCACTTGAACGCGCTGTCTTTAAACAACTCTCCTGTTATCTCCATGAGAACAACCTTCTGG